AATTGTTTCCTTTTATTTATGCAACCAATAATAAACAACAATACTATATTACGCGGATATAGATAAGAGCCGAAGCGATGAAGAGATTAAATTGTATTGACAATTAGTTTGAATTTAGTGTAATTATTATTAGCTAGCCTTAAAATAGAATTAAAATACCTTGAATGTATATCAACAGTATCCTAAATATTATGACAATAAATTAAAAGTACGACAATAAAAATATTACATGTTGTAAGTATTGTAGTATACAATAAAAAATATTGACGTAACATAAAAAAACTGCGTAGTTTCGCATAAAATTCATTAACTATCGTATTAAAGAAACTATTTTGGCTTATTTAAAAATTACTTGTTTAAAAGTAATGACCAAAGAACTAAACGTGTGTATATCGATAAAAACTATAGAATCTACATATATCAAAAAAAGCCATATCAAAATGATCATCCCTTAAAATACAAAATAGAAGTTATAACCACCAACCAATTAAACCAATCTTTACGTTCTTTTGTGCTATATTGTGGCTGTTGTTAAGTAACGATAAGACTTTATCGTTACAAATATTTTTCAATATTGAAATGTGTTCTTATAGTTCAACGTGTTTCAAAGAAAATGCCTCGTATGTAAGATATTAATTTTCAAAGATGTTTATATAAAAATCTCAATATTCTAATAATGCTCTTTAATATTGAATAATAAAATCTTGATCTAGATGTTTAATTGTCAGAAACGAGTCTATGAAGCAGCATAATTCATTGGTAATTGCTACGTCGAGCTTTCTACGTCCTCCGTGGAGTCATCTTAGAAAATGGTTATGCACTAGGAAATTAGGTTGCCGAGTCCCCAATTCACATCACAACCATTACTAATCGACAAATTATGGTATTGATGATTTGATGCCATTAAGTGGTTGGGAGACGTAGTACATTTACGTCATTATTTTTCCTAATAGAGGCGTTTATTAACAACCTAATACAGTGGTTAAGTCAAATTGTTATAAATTTGCAGTTGCGTCATTGTTTCACCGGAACGGCGATATCTACTTTGTCTGGTGACAATATCTATTCGCTTCAATTTGAAAAGTTGATGCTTTAAATTGTAAACTGAAATCAAAGATTCCAATTCGAAAATTTATTTTTAATAATTTAATTGTCGAAATAAATATTTAAATTACCTATACCTGGCAATAGAACTTTAGGTAATTATTGTTGTTTCCCAAATCTAATTTTTTACGAAAAATATTCCAATGTTTTTCATGACAGTATCTACTAGATTTCCTACTGAACTTCAACTTCAGTGAAGTTGAATTTCGATAAATGCGTTGTACATTAATAATATTGCAGATATCAGCAATCTATTTTCTAGTGACTATTGTTTTATAGTTAAAAAAATATTTAAAAAACTGGAAATTGTATTATATAAGTATCTTACGAATATTCTGTGGAACACCTTGGACGCAAATATTTATATATATACGTTATAATAACGGGCTTAAAATGGACATTTTCTGAGTATTAATATTATAATATCTGAAGTTTCGCACAATTTTAAAATATTAAATAAATAAAGATTATTGTACATAATAGTTAAAAATATTATAATGACGTTGAAAGTTTTTGAATGTTTACTTAAAAAGTGTAACTGCGTACAGTTAAAATATGTGCCAAATGAGACTATGTTTTAACTTTTGAATGACTATTTAACTTATTGTTGATTATATAAGTACTAATATTTTGTAAAAATGTTTGAGAATAAATAAATATACTTTATTATTCGATTTTGTGTTATTATTCTACAAAAAAAATTAAGAAATCCTCCCTTTTGAAATGGAAGTGTTAACATCATATAAATTTCAACATCCACTGCTGAAAAAAGGCATCTGCTTACGTTTCCATATTGTTTCTCCCCATCTGAGTTGCTGGCCAAGAATATACTCAGAGGATATCCTACTTGTCGTAAAAGGCAACCAGAGAGCAGCTGACCGACCGCTCTCCTTACCCAATGTTCCCTCTTAATATTATTCAATTAACATCAGAAATGAAAAACACTGAGAATGTGAACATTATGTGGAGCAAAATCAAAAATTCTGTGATAAAAACATAGAAAGAAACTCTACAAAAGAAAACAGAAAGCCGAAAGCCTTGGATAACTCAAGAAATACTGGAAATCATGGAAAAAGAAAAAAACTTACAAAAACACCAATAGCTTGGTAGTAAACCCCCATGAAGATTAATAGACTAATAGATTTTACCATCAGCAAGTTTTGAAAGTCGCTAGCGGATGGTTTGAACACAAAGACATACACCATTTTGTCAATGTTAAAGTAAAAAGAGGTCTCAAATGCGGGTTAGACCACTTTTCTCTTGAATCTCAAATATTTTTCGCTTTAGATACTCTGTTAAAAAGAAAACGAAAATGAAACCATATCTCTAAATCTCACACAGACTTTTCTTGCCTTGGCCTTAGGATATGCTTGCAATATCTCTGGTGAAATGAAATTTTTATTTTCTTTGGTAGTTCTAGAGGGTGTTTCAGGACTTGAGTCTAGAGGAACAGAGTTTACAGCCGATGGTCCTGGAAGGACGTTATTAAAGGATTCCTCTTCTACAATTTTCATAGGACGATCTGTTACTGCCGATCCAAGAAAGTCGCTCTCTCTTAAAACATTTGGACTGAAGGGGCATATCCCTATTTTTTCAAAGTCTGATCGAATATTTTGAGGTACGAGAGCTTTATTGTGTGTTGTACAAACCAACTCAGCGATATTGTATATTGTGATGGGTGCTCGTGGATGATTCAGCAGCCAAGCCTCACATGCAGCATTATAATATGACCTGAAAGACCCAAAGACAGCCACATCTAAGGGCTGGAGTTTATTGCTACAATGTGGGGGCAACGTCAAAATATGGACACCTGCGTCTCGAGTCTTCATGATTACTTCCAGTGTGACGTGGTTCTTGTGGTTATCAAATATTAGCAGAGACGAATTTTCTGTGAAACTGCTGCTGTATTTGATAAAATATTCTAATACTTGTTAAAAAATTTCTTCTGTTATCCAGCCTGAAGGGTTAGCTAGTCCCAAGGTACTACGAGGTGCTCCATTAAGCATATGCTCTTTAAAGAATTTACGTGGAAACACCATCACTGCTGGACAGTATGTGCTAAAGGGGATATTATATAGCAGGTGGTAACTAGTACACCATGTTCATTACTAATGCAGCTATTTACTTGTTTAATGCCTTTGCCAGTCACAACTTTTTTAAGGTCGTGGACAATTTTTGTCCTAGTCTCATCAAGATTAAAAATACGTGAACTCTCAATTAAAATAGAATATTTGTTTAGGATGTTCTGAAGATTATCAAAAGTCAGCTGAACGTTGTGTCTGTTGAAAGAAGTTAAGCGTGGCAAGCTACATGCTTCAGGTTGTCGTATGTTTAACTTTTTTCTTTTCATAAATGCACGAAGCCAGTCGATACCGGCTATTCTACGTTCCGTCCATGATTTTGGTACCTTCAATTTGTTTACTTTAGCTACATAAAATGGGATGCGTCGTTTAGCTACGGTGGTTAGGCCGTAAGCCATATTATTGCAAGTTTTAAACTGCAACAAAAACGGTATCGTTATATTCAGTAATTGTATTAATATTTATTTGTGGTATACAGTGAGGCAGTCCCACTATGTACCAGTAATGCTTGTCTCACTGTGTATTGTTGGACGTTATTTTAAAATTTACCATTCTGAAAAAGTACAACAAATTATAAGTTATAAACAACAACCTACCTTGTTCACAACACCTGATACACCAAAATTCAGCTGACATCGCTCAATAAGTGCTTATAGTTTTAGCAAAATATTTCTCTGAATATTGCTTTAAATGTAACTTTATATTATCAAAAACACGTTTTAGTTAAACACATCTCTTTCTCCTTCTCTAAGAGATTTACAATATACGCCATATTGCAAAAATAACAATTTGTGATGTAATTGTAATAGCCCTCCTTAAGTAGATTGGCGAAGCAAATGGAAGACAACTTTTGGATTTAAATTGGTTGTCTTACTGTGTACTCGTCTCACTATATACCACCTTCCCCTACACCAGAAGGTAAGGTTTTTGAACTTTGGTATACAGTCAACCACTGGGAACTTTATAAACTGGAAACTCCCTTTATAAGACTTTTTCAGATTGTTAGAAGCATTTATTGCCTGTCCTAATACTTACTTTAATACCTTTTGTGTACTTATTTTTTTCATTAACTATTGTACCCAGATATTTATATATTTTAGTAAATCTACAAGTTTCATCTGATCGTTCTTTTCATACCTCCTGCTTTCTTCACCTGACCTCATAGAGTTGCATTCTCTCCCGCAGTTCCTTTATAACTAGGTATTATATATACGCTCCCATACTCCCATTTAATCCAAAACATAGGTATTCCTGTCTAGACTTGAACGGTCTAAAAGAAGCATTTGTTTATTACCTGGTTTTATTTTTCATAAATTATTAAGTTGCAATTGCTAATATGTACTTTGAATGATCAAATTATTATTATTTAAAAAAAAACATAAGAAACAAATAAACATACACGTTATGGATATTTTAAACAAACTAAAGCAACTGTATAAAAAGCAAATATATAAAAAGCAAATTGAATAATAAAAATAGGAAATCATATAAAATATACTTATTATTTTGAGTGCATTCAGTGAAACTAAATATTTTTGAATATAATAAATATATTTTCCAGGCCTATAACAGTACTTACTTACTTTTACTGGCACTGGGTGCATTATTAATTTTTTTGTATATTCTGGTTTATTGTTATGCAACATACATTACGAGCTTAAGGATTTTTAATTTTACAATGTTGGCTATTCTGCAAATAGACGTCACGTGCATTATTTGACAGTGAGAGTGACAATAATCATATGACACTTGGGTGAGGTGTTTTTATCCCGTGAGATATTTTTGCAGTCCTTTTAATAAAATTCTTCATACTTCATCATGAAGGGCTGCGTTTTTAACATTGACAACGGCTATTTGGAAGGACTGTGCCGTGGCTTTAAATGTGGGATCCTGAAACAATCCGATTATTTGAATTTGGTCCAGTGTGAAACTCTTGAAGGTAGGTTTAAGAATAAGAAGGTAATTGCAAGGCAATCCAGAAATTTCATATGATTACTTGTTTTATTAAGAAGTTTTATTGTTTTATTATGTCTATATATTATATTTCGCAAAATAACCTGTGTATTAGAGTTCTCTAATCTCTTTTTTCACTTCTGCACAGACAAAAAAGGGGTACTATTTTATTTTCATAGTAATAGAATAATGTCAAGGATTGTCACAATATTGTTCCCTTTTCTATAGGGTATTATTGATAATCAAACGAGAGTCAATAGTATTACCTTACTCCTAGATCACAAATCCCTGGTCTTTTCTATTGTGGTTAGACCCTATTATACATTATAACATAAAAGGGCCTGCTTATTAGACATACAAAAGTGTTTTATAGGTTTTGATTTTAAAATGTTCAAGGTCACAAGTTGTATAGTTGAATTTTATTAATACTAGGTTTGTATCCAGCAATTATGGTAATTGAAAACAGAAACTTACTGAATTGATTCCGCTTTTTGAAATTTACAATCAACCCTTAACCTAGTTTTTAGAATGTTCATATATTTCTTATGTCTTACTAATGTCTACATATCAAGGGTAGTACAGCCTACTGTGGACCAATTCCTGACCAAATGTCTGCCTCTAAACAAATAAATGTGTAGATAAGACTCTAAGATAAGGATAATCATTTTTTAATAAGCTGTCATTAAATGTTTCTCCCATAAGAACAAATTTTCGCTAGAACAAGTAATTTTGGCTCTATCATAAAGAGTTTTACAATTCCCTTTTTAATATTGATGTGATTTGATTTGTAATTTAGACATCTGTTAGTGTGTGTTGGTTTTCTATACAACTCATATCCAGTATTAGAGTCTAATATCCAGAAAAAGTAGTGTATTATATTCCTTTTCCATGGTAAATGTTATTGTCTCTTTATTGATTATTGTCTTGTTTATATCTTTCAGGAATGTGTCCAACAACTCTGATTGGTGATGCCATGTTGAGAATACATCATATATACTGTGGGTTTTAAACTTTGTTTAGAAATAATATTTTATCAGCTTATAAAATAGATAACCTAGACCCCATTACTAGACCAAAATTTTGTATATAGATTCATTATTGTGCTTGTGAGATATCCAAAAATGCTGCAGTGCAGTATTCTTTCTTTTCAGTTGCATCTCTTGGTACTTTGGCAACCCTATGTACCTGCTCAATTGTTCCATGTTATTGCCTGAATCTAAACTGGTAATTCAGTATTAACTTTTGTCTGTTGATTATAGAATTCATTCTTTGAAGGAGTATATTTTCAAATATCTTAGAGATAATGGGAAGCAAACTGATTTGATCATAGGATGATAGTTCAAGTGGATCTTTATTTGCTTTTGGCATTAGAATAATTTGTGCCATTTCCCGTTGAAACAGAAAATAGTCTAACTTTAGTATAATAGTGTTAAATATATACACAACCAAACAAAATTCTTCTTCAGGTAAATTTTTGCAGATTTTTCCTGATTAAATCATACCCTAGAGCTTTTTTAATATTGACATGTCTAATTAAATCTTTATTTTCATTCATTTTAATATTTTCTATTGGATGTGATGTCTGGTAAGGTGCATCTAAGTTCTTGAGAATGAATTCTTCTTCCATTGAGATAGTTTGGATTGAGGTTGAAAAACTTGGCTGAGATGATAAGCAAAAGCTTGTGCTTTATCTTCATCGGCCTTGGCCTAATCACCATCTTCTTTTCTAATGGGACCATCATGCTTAATCTGATCTAAGTTTCTTAGAGAGTTTCCAAATAGAGTCATTTATGTCATCCGTCACAGTGAGACTTTTAGGAAATTCATTTATGCCTTGATCTTTGTATTTATGTAGTTCTCTTTTAAACAAATGAGTAGTCCTGTTTAGTTGAGTTTTGTACTCAGAAGATCTGGAAGTTTGCCACTGTTTTCTTAGTTTTCCCTTTTCATTGATTAAGATTTTTATATGATGTGGATTTGGTGCACAGTTATTACTCTGGTTTAAGCCTGGAGTTGCTCTCCAAGTTGCCTGTTAAATGATTTGATGTGAGGCGGTGGACGTGGGGTATTTATTTATATTATATACATGTTCCGTCACATCAATAAATATGGAAATATGGTCCTAAAAAAGGTCAAAGGAAGATTTAATGTCTAAAAAGTTGTTACTTATTCCTTTTACGATAGCAAAATCGATGAGATCAGGTATTTTATTTCTATCTGTAGGCCAGTAGGTTGATTGTTCTGTACAAATTGGAGTCAAATTTTTGTCATTTAAACTTTTAATAAGTTCTCTTCAGCGTGTTGTTCTCAATCTTGAACCCCATCTTGTATGTTTTGCATTAAAATCACCTGCTGCAATAAAGTAATGATCAAGCCCATTGAAATAACTAGAGAAATAGTTATCTTTATTGTACCAGGGGATCATTAAGCAACTGACACTGTTATGTGTCCATTGCTGAGATCTACAGATATCGAGGTTGCCTGAATGTTGATTTCACATACTTTATTTATTGATTATCTAATGATTAACGCAGTTCCACTATAACCTTTTCCCATTGGGGTGGTGTGACATAGGTGCAGAAATCTGGCATATTAAAATGGCTCTTGTTTGTCATATGAGTTTCAGAGACCATCATGATATCATGATTATTTAATTTTATAAATGCCTTAATCTCCTCACTATGGTTTGTGAGGCCGTTTGCGTTTCAATATCCAATTTTAATTTTAGTGTTGAACATTAAGTTTTGATGGCTTCGTTTTGAGAAGCTCAAACCATTCTCTCCATAAGTTTTTGGACCAATAATTCTAAATTGTTACTTGCTTCTAGTGTATGAAGTTTTTCTGTGTAGTATTTAGGACAGATGCGGTGGTATGATTTTGTCCCCCTACAGCGTTTGCATATCTAACAGATGGCCGATGAATATTTGAGGAACTTGGTGGGTAATGAGATTGTATTTTCTCCCTCAACTTTGGAAATTGTTTTCTTTGGAGCTCTTTGCAGACCAAACTATTATTTGTGTTTGGTTTGGACATTCGAATGACAAGCGATTAGCTGTACATTTAGGGGCAACGCATCGGGGCATTCAGTTGCAATATTTCTGAGTGTGTCCGAATTGTGGCATTGCTGTATTTCTCTTTTGGGATGTGGTAGTTCAACTTAAATTTAAAGGACTGGAGATGTTGGCTGAAAGAACGAAGGCAGCGTCAGCTCTAAAAATTCTTATATAGATAGATAGACCAATTATAAGTGGAAACGTGGTAGTTGCTTTGTATCCTCTTTTTGTTTTATGTTGGAGATATTTTTGACTGAATGTTCTAGTTCTTCGCGTGCTCTTTTAATAACAGTAATTTCTGTTTAAGCAACAGCTAAAGAAAGAAAATAAAGAAATTAAACAGGAACTAAATATAGTAAAGATGAAGATAGAACAGCTCGAGAAAGAAAGAAAAGCTAACAATGTTATAGTCCAAGGACTGTCGATGGATACAAATGATCCCAATGAACTTAACAAGACCATGACTAATTTTATGGAAAAAGAATTGGGCATACAAGTAAAAATTGAAGAAGCTTACAAACTAGGTGAAAAAACATGTCTTATAAAAACAAAAGACAGAAATGAAAAAATAAAAATTATGCGGAATAAAAACAAACTAAGATCAACCAGAAATATACATTAATAATGATCTAACGCACGAAGAGATGAAGATACAACAGGAAATACGGAAAATTGGAAAATTAGAAAAACTTAAAGGTAAGAACATTCGAGTTGGCTATCAAAAATTAAATATTGACGGGGACATATGGAAATGGAATAAAGAAAAAAAAAGAGTTGGAAAAAGATAACCAAGGGACGTCAAAAAACTGATACAACAAGAAATATCGGATATCCAACAAGAAACGAAATACGAAATGGCAAAGAAAAAGGATATGAATTCTCAAGAAAAAATAATAAAACATACGTACATAAAAAAAACATAACAAAAAAATTAAAAAACACGAGCAAGTAAAAATAAGTACGTGGAACATCAGAACAATGCTTGAACCAGGAAAAATGCAAGAGATTGTCTCAGAGCTGGAAAGATACGGAATTGATGTTGCAGCAATTCAAGAAATTAGATGGGCAAGTCAAGGAGAAATAAATAAAAAAAATTACACACTACACTACTCTGGGCACGAAAAACAAGGTCAATATGGAGTTGCATTTATAACTACAGGAAAAATACAAAATAATATTATGCAATTTAAACCAATAAATGAGCGCATGGCATACCTGAGAATTAACGCCAAACCATTTAATATATCCATCATAAACGTATATGCACCAACTGAAAGTGCTGTAGCAGAGGAAAAAGATAACATCTATGAGAAACTGGAACAAGAAATTGAATCTTTACCCAAAGAAGACACAATTCTGGTAATGGGAGATTTAACGCTCAGATAGGCAAAGAAGACTACATTAACCAAGTTGCAGGTAAACATACATTACATGAAAAAACAAATGATAGTGGTCAAAGATTATGCAACTTAGCAACTAGCACCAATATGATTGTCAGTAGTACAAAATTTGCACATCCTGTATACCACAAAGTAACATGGGTCTCACCAGACCAAAAAACATGGTCCCAAATAGACCATATACTCATCACAAAGAGAAAGCAAACATCGATAACAGACGTGAGAACATACAGAGGTGCACATGCAGACACAGACTATTTCATGGTTACCGCAACGTTAAGACAAAAAGTCAAAAGAACGCTAAAAAACAAGACAACAAGGGACAAATGGTACATAGAAAAATTAAATGCTACAGATAGAAGAATTAAATATGCAGAAGATATAAGCAAAAAACTGAAGGAATACTGTGAACATACAGAGGATGTTGAAACAGAATGGAGCAATATAAAAAAATGTATAAATGAAACAGCTTCTGAACATGTAGGGATAGAGAGAAAGAACAAAAAAGAAGAATGGTATAATCTAGACTGTCATAACATGTTAAAAAAGAAAATAGAAATAAGACAAAGGTGGATCAGAACAAATAGACAAGAATATAAAGAAGAATACAACAAATTAAGGACAGAATGTAAGAAACAAATAAGAAAAATTAAACGAACCTGGTTAAATGATAAGATAAATGAAATAGAAAAAGAAAACACAAATAGAAACACAAAAGCATTTTATAAGAAAATTAGCGAGCAGAACAAAACCTTCAAAGGAAAGATAAAAGGCATAAAGGATAGAAATGGAAAAGTATCAGAAAATGACAAAGAGTTTAAAGAAATCTGGACTGATTATTTTAAAGAATTATTAACAGTACAAGAGGACGAAGACTTAAATGAAAATGTAGAAGAAGAGACCACGATGATAGAAACCGAGCTAGAAAAACCAACGAGAGATGAAGTTGAGGAAATTATAAACAGTAGTCGCAACGGTAAAGCACCAGGTATAGACGGTATAAACATGGAACTAATAAAATATGGTGGACATGAACTCAGAGAAAAAATAAACCAATTAATAAAAGTCATATGGGACGAAGAAAAGATGCCAGAAGAATGGCACAAAGGACAAATTATCACAATACATAAAAAAGGAGACCATCAAATGTGTAATAATTATAGAGGACTGACATTATTAAACACAGCGTATAAAATCATGTCAACCTTAATACAACGAAGACTGGCCAAAGCGACAACAAATATCATGGGACAGTATCAATGCGGATTTATTAGGGGAAAGTCAACAACAGATGCCATACATACGGTAAAGCAAATTATGGAGAAAGCTTATGGATATAAAATAGAAATTGAACTGCTTTTTATAGACTTCCAACAAGCATTTGATTCAATAAACAGAGCGAAATTACTTACAGCTATGAGAGAAATGAGAATACACAACAAATTAAGACGATTAATAAAAATGACAATGAGCAAAACCGTAGTAACTGTAAAAACACAAAAAGGAGACACAGAAGAATTTGTTATAAATAAAAGTGTACGTTAAGGAGATTCATTATCTGCAACTCTGTTTAATCTTGCCCTGGAATATATAGTCAGAAAAATCAACAAAGGTACATTTAGAACGAGAGAGAAACAAATAATAGCATATGCCGACGATATTGTGATAATAACAAAGAACAGAAAAAAAAAATGGAAAGTATGTTAAAAGAATTGGTAGCCGAAGGGAAAGTAATGGGATTAGTAATAAATCAAGAAAAAACAGAAATAATGAGATTTGACAAAAAATATGAAAACAAAAAGGTTAGACTGGGTGAATATATATTTGAAGAAGTAGAAAAGTTTAAGTATTTGGGAATATTATTAGCAAACAATGGAGAAAGGGAAACAGAAATTAAAGAAAGGATAATTACAGCAAATAAGACATACTATGCAAATAAAAAGCTTCTAAAAAATAAATTACTGAGCAAAAAATCGAAAATGAAAATATATAAAACAAAAATTGGACCGACTATGATATATGCTGCCGAAACCCTTAGCATGACAAAAGAACAAGAGGAAGACCTTAGAATACTAGAAAGGAAAATACTAAGAGCAATATTAGGACCAATAAAAATTAATGAAAACCAATATAGACAAAGAACGAATCATGAACTACTAAACGAAATTAAAGAGGATATAGTTTGTAAAATAAAACAGCAAAGGGCAAAATGGCTAGGACATATATGGAGATCAGGACCATCTACGACAATATTCTCAATATTGGAATGGACACCAGCTGGTAAACGAAGACGTGGAAGACCAAGATCTACATGGCTACAAGAAGTAACAAACGATCTTAACAGGGCGGGCGTACGACAATGGGGAGAAAAAACCAGAGATAGGAAACAGTGGAGAAAAATAACAAGAAAAATTAAAACAAAAAATGGGGACTGATCTACCTCGTAAAATATATCTAGAGAGCTTAAGCGGCGTAACCCCGTACGGGGTGTTTAGCCACAATATATAATTTCTGTTTAAAGGGTGAATATTGCGAATAACCATTCGAAATCTAGGGTCCTGTTCTATCTGATGTGTGTGTAACTGAGTTTTTTTGTGTTAAACTTTTAACAATATCTGAATAGTGGAATCACTAACAGGAGAATTTTACTGCTATCATTGCATGTGGTTGTCTATTTAAAGATGAATCGCATGCTATGATTTTTCTGACGAATATTCTTAAGTTACAGTTGATTTCAATTAATTGAATGAACTATCTTACAATAAAGTCGTAACAGGAACGCAACTCAGCAATATTGGCGTCTACTTTAAAATAACGGTCTCCTACTAGGTTCATACACCGAGGACGTTCTGGAACTGGTCTTCTTGTGTAACCTCCAGTTTCTCCTTTGTATGTACCACTTTTTTTGTAAGAATGCTCGTCCTCATTGAAAAATCAAGCAGGCATAGTGCTCAGATCAAATTCTCGAACACTAATGTCCAAAATAAATATTCTCTCTTATCAACGTTTTGTTTATTTTCTTTTTTGACAAAACCACATCCCAATCTTGAAATATTATGGGTTTGTAGACACCTAAAGGAGACTGTAGACGAGTATTTTGCTAAAAATTAAAAATTGCTTTTAAACTTTTTTTCTGTTTTGGAATTTTGCTTATTTTAACAATCTATGAGTATTAAGTTATGGTACAAGTGGTACAAATAAGTTCCATTAACCAATCAATTAATGTAATTTAATTGTTTTAGATTAAAACAAAAAAATATATATTATTTAATTGTTTTAGATTTAAAACTACACTTGCAAGGCACTGACTATGGAACCTTTTTGGCCAACGAACCTTCACCTTTGTCAGTATCAACCATTGATTCGAGACTTCGAGAAAAACTTGTAATCGAGTTCCAGCATATGCGTAACCAAGCAGTAGAGCCTCTCTCAACATTTATGGACTTCATTACCTACAGTTACATGATTGATAACATAATTTTGCTTATTACAGGAACTCTTCATCAGAGACCAATTGGTGAATTAATCCCTAAATGTCACCCTCTAGGTAGCTTCGAGCAAATGGAAGCCATCCATGTAGCTGCTACTCCAGCTGAGTTATACAATGCTGTATTGGTTGACACACCTCTTGCCCCATTTTTTGTTGATTGCATCAGTGAACAAGATTTGGATGAAATGAATATTGAAATCATCAGAAATACCTTATACAAAGCTTACTTGGAAGCGTTTTATACCTTTTGCAAGGACATTGGAGGTACTACTGCCGATAGCATGTGTGAAATTTTGGCTTTTGAGGCAGATAGACGTGCTATTATCATTACCATTAACTCTTTTGGCACTGAATTAAGCAAAGATGACCGTTCTAAGTTGTACCCTCGCTGTGGAAGACTCAACCCCGATGGTTTGGCTGCTTTAGTGAGAGCTGAGGACTACGACCAAGTTAAAGCAGTTGCTGAATACTACGCTGAATATTCAAAACTGTTTGAAGGAGCTGGCAACAACCCGGGCGACAAAACATTGGAGGATAAATTCTTTGAATATGAAGTACGTCTTAACATCAATGCTTTCATGCAACAATTTCACTTTGGGGTATTCTACTCTTACTTGAAGTTGAAGGAACAGGAATGCAGAAATATTGTCTGGATTGCTGAATGTGTAGCTCAAAAACACAGGGCCAAAATCGACAACTACATCCCAATATTCTAAAGGAATTTCTTGTTTGCACTATTATTTGCATTCCATTTGGCTCATTTAGTTCTTAGTAAAGATAAATGGAATTATCAAAAAAGTTTTTATGATTCATATGTACTATTCCTATAGACGTCGTTTTTTCAATATTGCAGTTAGTGCAAGGTTTTCGTTTCAAATTTATTACCAACTACATCTTTCAATGATCCAGGATTGTTAGAAAATTAAATACACATTAAATGTGTTGATGTTTTATTACAATATAAAAAAACCTGTAAAAAGATCAATAGGAAGACTGTAGCAGTTTATTTAAAAAAAGCCATAGAGTATTAATGTATCATACAATATGGAATCATAAAATGACACCTTCATATCAATTATATCACCATTCAGAAATTTGCTGTAACTATCCTTTGTTTATTATATTTTTTAATGATCGGTATGTTTTTAATATTTTTTTAGTTTTCTGGAAAGAATATTGCACAAATTCTTAGTTATCTGATTCAACATGTGTTAATGTAATGTTAGACTCTGTTGAGTTATATCATAAATATAATTATGTTTTCTGTGTATAAAGCGTAGTTAAGCCAAAATGTTATTTCTGTTGTATATGTAAGAATAAATAAAATTATATGTATCTAAATCTGAATGTATTCATTTATCCTAAAATGTAAAATGGTAGATCTTTTTCTTCACACTGTTCCTTCCCTTAGAGCAGGGGTGGCCAACTTAATCGGACTCGAGATCTACTGTCTGTCTTTCTAATTAATTGCGATCTACCGACTAGGAATTTTTTAACTATACTGGCGAGCAATATAACTTTTAATCCAGAATTTTAACGTTAAAAGTGAGCTGAATATCTCAAGAAACGCTCACTATATCTTAGAAAATCAGTCACTGGTTTTCCAAAAATATATCGCAGTGCATAGCAATTATTTCATTTTCAAGAAAAAGTTTGTCTATTTGGAATATCTCTGCAAGTTGTTTGGATGTTTCAAAGGTGTTATGAATTATATCATTGAATGGATAATTGATAAATTCGACCAATCTTTCAATTTTATAGAAATCTCTAAAACGGATTTCAATGTCTGATACCACCGACTGAATATCTGCTGTATACTTCTGCGAATTAAAAACATATGCAGGGTGTTTTTCTATGTGCTCTTAATGTTCATAAATCTTAGAATCTTTTCTTTAATAATCTGACTTTACCATCTGTTTGATCCACATTATCAACTTCTTCTTCTTCTTAGTACTTAGTCGTTAACCTGATGCAGGTATCGTGATATCATGAAGCTATTAGCTAAATTTCCCAATGTTCATCCACGTTTTTCTATCTTCTGCCATTCTAGCACATTCTGACAATGGTAGCAACAATATGGTCCAATAGCTTATTATTTGTTCTGATATTTGTGTTCTTAGTCTTTTCTTTATGTTTAGCTGGTCCAGTATGGATTGATTTGTTCTTCGGGCCTCCCATGGTATTCTCAGCATTCGTCTCCAGCAGTATATCTCAAACACATCTATGTTCTTTTTGTCTTTCTCAGTAAGGGTCCAGCATTCCGATTTTAAGTAAAAACTGGAAAAACTAGACTTCTTACTAGTCTCATTTTTATATCGGTAGTTATTTCATGGCTTTTCCAAATTTTTGTTAATTTTGCCATAGCGCTTTTTGTGATTGCTGACCGCCGCTTTATTTCTTCAGTACAGCCTCCTTTGTTGGTTATTAATCAGCCCAGATACACAAATTTATCTACAACAGCGACATTGTTTATCATGACCAGATGATTTTGATTGTTGTTAGCTCTGTCAATTATCATGATTCTCGTTTTGTCTCTGTTTATTTTAAGGCCCATCGTTAAGCTTACGTCTTCTATCCGTTGTAGCAGGTGAATCAATTCAGCTTCAGAAGTAGCGAGGATAGTAGTATCATCTGCATATCTTAAGTTGCAAATCTTCTTCCCGCCAATGGTGATGCCACCGTTCCAGTCCTCAGTAGCTTTCCGCATTATCCATTCACCATAGATGTTAAATAGAATTGGGCTTAGTATGCAGCCTTGTCTCACGCCCTTTGTGACCCTGAAGCTATCGGTTAGTTCCCCATTTATTCTAACTCGGGCATAATTGTTATTGTACAGGCTTTTAATTAGCAGTATCAGATGATTGGGGACTCCCATTTCAGACAAAACCTGCCACATTTTACTCCAGTTGACCAAATCGAAAGCTTTACTATAATCTATAAAGCACAAATATATTGTGACGTCGAATTCTCTGGATTTTTCTACAATCTGCCGTACGTTTAAAATTTGTTCTCTAGTACCACGTCTGGGGACGAAACCAGCTTGTTCCTCCGCAATGTTAGGTAGTAAAAAGGGCTTTATCCTCTCTAGAATTATGTGTAAGAGTATCTTACTGCAATGCGCAATTAGAGCAATTGTGCGATAGTTGCTACTTAAATCTTTCGCTCCCTTTTTTATTATCAACTACTGCCATTAGGTACATTATCAACGACTGCCACAAAATTTCTAACGCGTTTTTTCCCAAAAACTTGTAACCATATAATCGCCCTTAGAAATTTGTGTATTTGGCCTTTCTTCTTCTAATATGAAACTATCATCTAACGAATTATCATCTACTTCATCCGGAAATACCGGAAACATAGAGGCGAAGAAACTAGTAGGATTTCTGCAGGGTAAACTTCAAGGATTTTTTGGCTTGGACTTTTCCACACTTCTACCTGAAGAAACATCTTTCGTGTATACCCCACATTTGTTTTAGTGACAAGAATCTATGTCTAAGAAAGCTTCTTATCAGTTTTGGAGACACGTTTGTTATCTCATCAGGTTATGAAAATACTTTTTGCAGGTGTTTATGGCGTTTGGAAATAATTGCAGTAATAGCCAATGCGTTCTTTGCAGTTGATCTGATCTGAGTGAATAGTGTCAAATGAGAATACCTGTAATTATCCTAAATGTAATTACCCTAAGTTTCTTTGAGCTCTAAGAGTAATTTTTCATAGCGAGCAGAAGGCTTCAATAACAGTTTTGCTTGCCTTTGGTCTGGAATATTTTGTAAGGGCTACACTAGGTTGCTTTTCCAATTTTACTTTACCAACAATTCATTTATGCTGTACTTATTAATATAATTCAAAAGTTGGAAGAAGAAATTAGGTGTTGAAAGAAGATATTACCTACAGGAAAACGAAGCTTCTGGACAAATTGTAAGGATAATCCTTCTTTCATGAATTGGAAAAGCTCTTTGAAAAATTTAAGAACCTATTGATTTATTCAAGGGGTTCAAGAATTTTCCTCTCAGACTTTACAGCAGAAGATTGATGGTGAATATCTTATCAACCCCATCTGTACCAGTATTTGTCGAAGTGAGTGAAATTATAAAAATTTTACCAGTTGGTAAAGAGGTCTAAAAATAGACAGGCAACATACAAATAAGTTTTTAGTAAACGAACAATTAAAAAAGGCTTTCTGATGGGTAATTTTAATGTTTTTTAATTTTTATAATGGATATAAATTTTATTGCTTCTTTTATTTCCTGCCTTTCTACTTATTATATTTCTTGGTTGCAATTACCTTTTCCTTTCCAGATTTCCTTTTCCAAAGGTGCGTCTAATTTATACATACAGTAAAAGAATACTGTAATGGACTCAGGCTAAGTTACTAGAACCCTGTAATAGATTACAATACGAAGACTGTTTTCATATAACTTAATTATGTACCTTGTTTTATAAAGTTTCCCTTTTCAAATGTGTTTTTAACCTATATAGAGAGCAACAGCATACTGTAATAAACTCTGGCTAAGATACTTCAACCCTCTAATAGATGGCAGCATTAAGACTATTTTGCACATAACTTTCCTTTTGATATTATTTTAAGCAACATGTTTTTTAAAAATATTTCCATAGGGGAGAAGTGAGCACTTTTGAACGTTTTTTCTTTTTATGTATATTATAACTTACTTTGTCTAGAATTATTTATTTTAGGTCTCGCAAACAACATTAGCACATCTAAAAATGTAGTATTGCCTATCAAACTTACCAAGAAATTATCTGAACTTACAAAAAAATTAACTTTATAATTATGTCATAAGAAAAATATCCAAAATATCCCTCATAGGGGTAGCTTTGAACTAAGAAGGGGCGCATTTGAATGTCTTAAAAATACTTTAAAATTAAACCAAAAAACACAGTTTATTACTGAAAGGACACAATAAAATATACAAACGTGAAAAAAAAAAAAAACAGTAAGTACTCAAGTGCCTAAGGTATAGAGATTAAAATAAGAAGAAACTATTAATTTTTAATTTACGTTGTAATTATCCATCAATTTTAAAAAATAAATAAATGATTGCGTTCTGCAAGTGCTATAATTTGAATTGTTTATAGGATGTAATTTTAAAACTACATCTTTATCGGGGGGACTATCGAAATATCCTCAGCAAATATTTCAGTGATCTGTCCCACATAATAATTATACAGCTTTTTTTGTAACAAACTTCACTAAAATATAAAATAGTCATTCTGTTCATATTTGTTTATTTCTGTGAAGTCCTCGGATTCATCTGAACTAGCATAAACGATGTCTTCATCGGATTCCGAAGTTTCACTCTGTGGTAACTTCGCATTCTTCTTAGAGAACTTAGTAGGAGTAGTCTTCCAAATGTTGCTTTTCATCTTATTTGCTTGCAAATTCTGTTGTTTTTGTTCTCTTGCTAGAGTTTCTTCTTCAACTTTGTTTTTTTCTGGTGTTTCTGTTAAAACTAAAACTGTAGATTTAACCTTTTTTCATGCTCTAATATTTTTTGTCGGCGTAGCCTTTGGAAAAGGTCGTACAACTTCAGGTGTTATTGAGGTTGATATAGATGGAACAATTACAATTTCAGGTGCCACTGTGGTTGATGTAGATGGAAAAACTTTAATTTCATGTATTGAGTTAAGTTGTTTACATTATTTTCTGGTGGTGGTGGCCGGTCAGTAACAAAATTACAGTCAAAATCATCATCCGAAAATACAAGACGGTTTAGGACCAAGTGTCCGTTTTTCTAAAACCTTCAACTATATTCTTCACGATATGTGAAGAAGTATATGCAGTGTCTGTAATAGCTGCTAAGTCATGTATGGTAATTGCTCGAGTAGGATGCATTATCATTCACTCACTAATACTATACTAGTGGAGTGGAAAAGTAACTAATACTATACTATGTTACGTGAAAACATTATGGATTTAAGACAACAATGAGTTTCGTGATTGTTCATCAATATGACAATTGGAGAATCAGAAGAATACTGCGTATAACGTTTAATATGATTAAGAACTTGGCAAATTAGCCAAACCCAGGCTACCCAAAGGAAGTGCCATTCAAAATTGAATAATGAAAACGAGCTCTTCGAAATATGTACATAGGAGACACAGCATTTTCTAATACATTTATTATCCCACATACAGTGATCAGGGTCCCAACTTGTTTGATTCCCTTTTGCGTTACAATGTTTGGAGCTTGCAGAACAATGCTGATGCCAGTTTCGTCCAAGTTATAGATCCTGTTAGGTGTGAAAACGTTGGTTGAAAGAGCACATTCATAATTGTCAAAAAGATGTTTACACATCCCGTGGTGTTAATTGTCATC